CGGAGGCGGGTCCCCGGTGCCGCGGCCCGCCCGGCGCGGCGCCCGCCGGCTCTGCGCGGAGCGGCAGCGAGAGGTCCCGCAGCCCCGCGCCGCGCCCGGTGCGCACCTGCCCGGAGCTCGCCTGCGGAGGAGTCCAGACGCCCAGCAGGCAAGACCCTCCCCACTGCGCTGGCCGCCTGCGGTGCGGCAGCGGCGGGCACCGCAGTGCCCGCAACGGGGCTGTGCTGCCCGAGCATGCGAGCTGCTGTGCCGCGATGCGGTGTGCGGGCAGCGCTGCCTCGCCTTGTGCCGGACCCTGAGCACCGCAGGGTCAGGGGCTCCGTCGTACTCCGCGCTTGACGAGTGCACGGACACGGTCTCAGCCTTGCCGGTGCTTTGCTGAGAGCGTAGAAATCGTTTGGCCGGAGCTCGCTGCGCTCCGGTGAAATAGGGGCTGAAGGCGAAGCCCGTGCCCGAGCCGAGGCACGGCGGTGGCAGGGCTGGGGCTGCAGCCCAGCCCAGCCCAGCCCAGCCTAGCCTGGGCACCAGCCTTGGGACGCTCTGGCACCGGTTACAGTGAGCCGGTGGTGCCCACGGGCTGGACTGGCCATCTGCAGCTTGAATGCACCTGGAGCCCTGGCCCTCAGGGAAGGAAGGGATCATCCTATGTACAGACCCCCCCTGTGTCAACACTACGTGCGCTTGTTAATTATTTAGTAAGCGTATAGGGCTGTACACCATTGCTCATGCACTGTTTGTTGTGTTTTGTGCTGTTTGTCGTTAACCCTTGATCTCTTTTTCATAGCTTAAGAAATACAGGGAGTATATGCCATAAGAAACCCTTTTATTTCTCATTCCTCTCACGTTCAGTCTTCTGGGTTCAGTGATGCAGGGGCTGCCTAACGGAGTGGCTGCTGTGCAGCATAAGCAATATTATACAATATACAATTTCGTAATAAATTTATATACCTCAGCGTGTGCCTCTAGCGCAATGGAGATGAGCTGTTTGCTGCATGGCATCCTCCAATGAGCCCCTGGAGAGGGTGGCCCTGACTCTACTGCTTACCTCTAGCAGATTTGTCTGTTTGCAGGGTGGTGACATTTTGTGCTCACCAGTGTCCTCGTATTTCACGTCATCTCATGCCCTTCATGTGCTGGCTTTGTAACTCTTTAATTTTTGAGACCAAGAATTCATGAATCAAAAGATGGGGGAGTGGGGGAGCTGAGTCAGATTGTGAAAAAGGAAAGCCAAGTGAGAGTGTGCAATTGCATATCACATTTACAAACATGGTTTCATTCATTCATCTCCAAATGTTGCTCCTGTTACTACTAATAAAGCTCTGGTTTCTCAGACTGGAGCTGCCCTGGGAACACTGATTTTCATGGGGTTTTTACTTTATAACCTCCATAGTATTTGTGTTACAGTATATTATTTTTCCAATTATGTTTTCATTACACTGAACATGTTAATATCAGAAAGAATTTGATAATATGAATGTACTTCCCACACACTCCCTGTCGTTCCTATTATTCGATGTGCAAAAGAGTGGCAGATTATATACCAGCAGCAATTTGTTTCGTTCTGTACTGGTAAGATTTCCTAATTATAAAAAAAAAAGCTTTTTCCCTGAGCATGCACCCCTGTTTGCTTCCTCTTTCTTTCCTCATCTTGCTAATGATAGCCAACTCCATCATGGTGATTTTGGAGCTGCTGGAAATCTAGCTTTGTCTACTGAAAGATTTCTACAGAAACCTTTATAGGCAAAGGGAGCCAGAGAGCAAGTCTGCTATAAGCATAATGGTGTCTGAGGTTTTCTTCTCTGGCTGGGAGGTGTAACTGTGTAGTGTACAGTAATTAATTTAATCCAATGTTGAGAGAGAAGGAGGAAGAATGATTGTATTGGGAAAAAATAAGAGTCTTTTTAAAGTATCAGATGTAAAATTGAAGCAGCCATTTCAATGACCTTTGTGATTTCTATTTCAGACAAAAGGCAGCAACCTAGTACAAGGGTATCATTTGTCTTCTCCCAGCCTCATCCTTTGTTCTCCTTGGGTTTAGCCTGTCACTTCCTAGGGTTTGGCTCTGTCCCTTGTTGGGACAGCAGCACTTCTCACCCGTGACTCTCAGAAGTGCTGTACCAGCAGGTGATTTTTTTTTTCTACTACTTATTTCATATCTTCTCTGCTGTGAAGAGTCTTTTTTTCTTCTTATGACCCTCTGAGTCTCTCCGTGTCTTATTTATGCTTCAGTATTTCTGCCTTGCCAAACATTGTGCTAGTTACTTTACCTTCCCCCCTCTCTGCTTTTTGTCCACTCATGGCTTTTCTCTCATTTTTTTCCCCTTTCATATATCTTCTTCTTACATCTTTTTTTTTCCCCTCTCTTTCTGTCTTTCTTTTTATATCCTCTCCTTCTGTCTCCTTTCTGACATCCCACTTCCATCCACTGTCTTACTCTACCTTCCTCTTGACATTTTCTCTCCAACCTGTTCCTTTTGTTATTGTCCTTTTCATCCCTTGCATTTACATATATATGTAAAATAATAATGTAATAAATATGTATACTAATATATTACATATATATGTGTATACATATACCTGTACTCTATTCCATGTCTTCCAGCTGAAACAAAGAAATTACTTATGCTGGTAGTCTGATCCTATTGCATCCCTTTCTCAGCACCTGAAATACACTGCTCCTGCCCATCCTCCAACACATATATTGGGTAGACTGAAGAATTAAGTGTGTGGGAAATGTTCCTAAATTCAGAAGTGTACTTAGGAAAGCATCTTGCTCGGGCTGCACTGTGAACAGAGCAGTTGTTTTGCTCCCACTGACAATACCAGAGGAGGACTGTAAGTACCTTGAATTCAAGGACCTAATGACATTTGCTTTACATTTCTCAATTTCAGGGATTTTTTAAATGAAAATATTATAATATTAGATAAGGGACACTACCATCTCTTTGAATTATCCCTTGGATCCTGGACTGACCCAAAATAAGACCTCACAAAATGCTTTTCTTTTTTTTTCCCCAATTGTTTTGTTTTATACATTCATTAAGCCACTTTTCTGCAGTTATTGGGAGAGAAATGCTTTCTTCTTATCAGTTCTAAGCTCTGCCTCTGAAAAGGGCTCTGTATGGGGTGAGACTGGTATCTTGGCTTTTCAGCTTCCCCTTTCTTTGGAGCCAAAGGGAGAGGAGAGAGCTATGACTGCAGGATCATATTCATTGGGTGGGAGATGGAAGAATAGATGCATTAACCAAAAATACTACATTAACCTCAGAGAGTGGGGGGTGGAGTTGTTTAGTAATTATTCCCCTTGACTATCACTGACTGCAAGCACCATCATTGAGGATCAAGGGCAAATGTTAAATTTTGCTATTTAAATAAGAATCTTCATTTTAAAAAAATCATTTAATAATTAAACTATTTTTTTTTTGTCATTCAGAGAGCATACTACTGACTAGCTGGAATGAAAACAGCTCTATCCCACGGACTCCACCTCTGCTTTCTGGCAGCTTACCTGACTCATAAAGAGAGTGGGGGGTTTTATATGCCACCTACAGCAACTCAACATTTTCCTTTGTGGTGAGAGTTAATCACCACCCTTGTCATATTATTTCACCCTATTGAAGTGGGGATTCTTTACCTTTCAAACCAGCCTTAAAACTTAGGGTGAGGTTTTTTTCTGAATTTGCACCATTGCAGATGGTGTGTGTTGAAGAGGAAACTGTGGGGTTTTAGCCATGATGGTCGAAGATTTAAAGGGGCAAAGTGTTGCTTATATTAGTCAGAAAAACTAGACATGCTTTGGGCACATAAAATCTCTCTTTATAACCAGTTTGTATAACCTGTGTGGCTGTGTCTCTTGTGGGCAGAGAGATCATATGTAGTAGACTGATATTTGTCAAGCAGAAAAAATTACATGAAAGAAGACTGGAAGGTAGGAATGAGAACAAAACACAAAGATGGCAATACAATGGATGCAGTGTGTGTAGAAGGCAGTGGAGGAAGGGAGAGGAGGAACAGAAAGTGCACCTCCTGGAAGGCTATTGGGAGTTACAAGAGGACATGAGTTACCCTTCCTCCTGGAAAGTGTGAGGAAGCTTAGGCAGAAAAGTATGTGACTTTGCAGAAGAAATTCTTGAAACAAGGGGGAGGAAGGAAGTGCTGTGGAGCTCAGCACTTAAGGAGAACACCTAGTGTGAAGGAGAGCCAGGGAAATCACTTGGTAAGAGTCTCTTCATTTCTCTGTCACAAAGGCAGGTAGAATCAAGGAATGGGAAAGAAAGGGGAAAACCAAAAGGACAGAAGTTAACCATTGGCAGATGTCAGTGAAGGAAAGATAGAGAAAGGAAGCTGCTGCCGTGTTGGCAGAAAGTTTCCAGGTCCTCTGTGGGACAGAAGACAGGGAGCATCCCGTAAGGAATGAGCTGTCTGACCATGCATAATATAAATACAGGTTATTTCCATTCTTGATGTGTTTAAGTCTTAAAATGCACCACAGATACAGCGGCTCTGTATTGAAGATATGGAAGCTGTAGCTGTCTCAACCTTCCTGTAACCCCCTCCTCCTTCTCACATGCCAGAATTAATCCCATATTATCTCCTCTCCTGCACTGTGGGTCCTCAGCCTAGCTCCAGTCATCCTTCTTATCGATTGCACCTGCTTCTTAACTGGGGCACAACTCAAGATGAGGACTTAGCAGTCACCTGCAAAGATGTGCCTCTCAAAGCAGAGGCACTAATGAGCTCTGTGAAGGAAGCATGCTGGGAGAGGCATCAGCAGGGAGAAAGAAGAGCAAAAAAAGAGCCCATCATCTGAGAAAGAAACAGACTTAGGAGATTACAGGAGACTCTAGGATTATTGCAGAGGGGAGACTAAAGGCATGGAAGACTCAGGAGGAAAGTGAATGTGGGAGGACGGAGCCATGGATGGTTAAAAATAACAGTATGGTACAGATAATGTGGCACTCCACTGGTATTTTAAACCTGCTGCCTTTGAAAACCCTTCTGAGTTTTGAAAAGTGAGCCTTACATTTAATTGTTCTAATTGGTACTGACCATCCAGGACCACTGGCATTTTGGGCCAGTCATTTTGTCCAGCAACCCCCATTTTCTGCACTGCTGGTCTAGTGGTTGCAACCAAGTCTTCAGCAGATTGCTCTTTGTACTCCTGCCTGATGTAAATATCGATGTATCCCCAATTATGTTTTCATTTCTCTGAAAGGAAGATGGCATTTTTGACTAGCACACTAACTCCATGTGATAATGATGCTATCACAAATTAGAGGTAAATTAAAGCACCATTCACAAGCAATTTGTACAATGTGGAATTTGGGCCTGGGTTAATTTGGACCTGAAAGCCATTTTTTTTTGATGTTTCTGAACAACTGCCAGCTTTTCAAGCCTGTGGCTGTTCCAAGTAATGCATTAGTCTCTGTACAAATAACAAATGTGAGATGGGACCAAGTGGCAGCAAACCTGCTGGGGCTTTGAACCTCCTGGCACTTGTAATGGGTGTGAGAAAATGAAGGAAGGAACAATAAATAAAAGAATAAAGAAAAGAGAAGCAGAAAGTGAAGGACATCTGTGCATTTTGATAACAATTCGTCAGTAGCGCAGCAACCTAGAATGGAAATACATTGTCTGGATAATGTAGAGCAGTTATTTGCTATGCCAGAGCCATCTCCTAGAAATCTTTTTTTTTCTTTTTAAATTAAGTTTTGTCTTTTAACCATGAAAGGTATGGGTTTCTTCATCTTTCTCCCTTCCTCTCTTGCCTTTATCCTCCCACTCCCGAGTAAAGATATAAGTAATGCTCCCTCTCATCTCCAGTGCAAATTTATTCATAAACATTTTAAAATGGCTTGTTGTCAGTTCTTGTTCCAGAGTTTACTTTTACCTTCAATAACTCTTGTATCCTTAGTGCTCATCCCTGTCTATTTCTGGAGAGAAGTCAGCTTGCCTTTTCACGGAAGCTTTGCCGTTCTGTCCCAGCCACGCTTCACTCCTCTCCTTGCATCTAGCAGGCTCTCCATTTTCCTGCTTCCTACAGAAGATGACCTCTAATACTCAGAGGACTCTCTGCCTGTGGTAATGTGATCTGGTGACAGCAGCAGAAAAAGGTGTCAGCAGTCCTGGATCGTGTTCCCAATCCAGTCTTTGGATGATGAGAGGTCTGGGGAAGGACATTTATCTTTGTTTCTCTGCAGGCTCCAATAATAGTCGCACATCTCTGTTTTACAGTAAAATTGCTTTTACAATGCCTAATTAATTATTAATACACACATTACAATATTTTCAGTATCCTGTAGCAGCGAAATCAGATGCTGTGCCACTTGCTGCCCTTTGGCTTGTGGCATGGCATGCAGTCCTTGTGGATGTACCTGTGTGGTACCCCCACCTCTTGTGTTTACACTCTGTGTTCCTAGGCACCCAGGCTTTATAGCCATGATAAAGCAGCTTTCACATATTCCTGACTTTTTTGCTAATTGCATGATTTCTGCTATTTTTTCTTAAATAATTTTCTGGACTTGCTGAAATGGGAGTAATGTAACTGGGAAGTGATGATTGAAATGAGAGACTCTCTTTTTGAGGGAATGTTGATCATGATTGATTATAGCTGCACACATCATGTCCTCAAGTGGCGCTTTCTCCCCATGTAGGGGGAGATTTGGTGATATTGCCCATGTCTGTTGAGCAGACATGCATTAGACCCATGTATATCTCATGAAGGTTGCTGGGTTTATTTCACCCATGCCATTGAGAATACACGGTAACACCTACATTGTAATATACCTGTCACATCACTCAAAAGCCTTAATGCCCTTAGTCTGATCTTCAGTCCAATTTGGGCACATAGCTTTCCACTTCAGCATGGGTTTATATCTGAACATATTATTCCCAGTCAACATAATTTGACCAGAGTACAGATTTTGGGGTACTATCTCAGCTTTTGTTTCTTTTTGCTACATAAATGTGGCACTGAAAAAGATCACAGAAACCTACAAAAACCTGGATATGAGGTGTGTGGGAGGAAGAGGTGCCACACGTCTGCATTGGTTTCAACACAACTCCTACTTTAACTTGGAAGCAGCTATCATCTGGGGCAGCTTCTTCTCCCTCTCCCACCCACTCTCCCCTTATGGCCTGCAGGTGCTGGGCTGTAGCTTCTCATATTTTTGGCTGAATGGCTGAATTAGCACATTTTTAATGGATACCTTTTTCAGCACTGATGAAAATGGTCTAGAATTTTGATAATTCTCCATTACTCCATAAAATGCATAAAAATAGTTTGTTTAAAGGCCATAGCAGTTCTTTAGGCTTATTATCATTACTAGGTTAGAGACCATGGCTCCATTTTAGAAGGAGTTCTTTAGATATAGCAGACTTATGCTCTTCTGCTTTTCCAGAGAAATTGAAATGATGTGGTTAAAGATCAAGTGATTTTCATTTTTTACATGGCACAGAGAAATTTATTTCAAATCTGCACTTTTTATTTTCAATAGCATAGGGTGTAGTGGAATAAGTAAAGCACCTTTCTTTTGTTAGTCACCTATGATTTTTGTTCTCACACCCATCTCCGATTGTCTTTACTTTGCAAACCACCAAGAAGTTACGTAGAGCTTGTGATGCTTCTGAGTAGTGGAGCTGCTGTGATGTCTTGCTGCTTCTGCCCAGCAGGATTGGTCCAGATCGGATGTAGCTCAGCTGCCTGTACGTGGTCAGCAGGTTCTGACCTCTTCCTGCCTTCCGAGTGACTTTGCTGAGTTAGTCTAGGGACAGGAGCTAAATCCCACACCCAGACACAGAGTTGTTGTGACAGGTTGATCCCCTGTGGGTCCAGTTGAGTTGAAGTGGGATAGGAATGGAACAGAAGCCTTTTGCTTCAGAAAAGAATTTGTGGCAGGAGCAGCAAATCCTGATGACTCTGAAACTTGGAAAGGAAACTTATGCTGAAGTTTATGTTGTATAAGGTTCTGGCTTTTTGATAAAACCCTAGGAAGGAAGTGAGCCTGATTGTGTTCTCTGTTGGACTGTGTTAGTGCTGAAGACTTTCTGAGGATGTTTGTGATAATACAGAATCACAGAATATTCTGAGTAGGAAGGAACCCACAAGGATCATCAAAGTCCAGTTCCTACAGGTTTCTCTGAAACCCTGGCACTCTGTGTGAAAGTTGCCTGGTGTGTAATTGTAGCAGATGCTTGTACTGGGTGAACTCTCATAAACATTTAACAGGTATTGATCTAGAGAAAATATAATTTTGCATTTATTAGATGCTGTTGGTCAAGCGTGTAGATCAGAGATATCCCAAATCAGGTAGATAATGAATGCTCTTATAAAGAGCAGATAGTAAAGCTTTTTTTAAGTACTCATTAACAGTAACAAAACTTTGATAAAACATGAAGTCTGATTTTTATAAAGTACTGAGCCTCCTGGATTCCAATGGAAATCAATGTCGGCTGTTGGTGCTAAGCATCTCTAAACATTGCATTTGTGGTTTCAGACCCAGGTTAAATCCCCATTGACTTCAGACACTCTTTTAATCAGCCTAAGGACTGAATATTTAACCTTCTGACAGTCA